ATAGAACAATTGATCCAAATGAACATGTGACCTCCTACACTTACGCCATCAAAGGGAACGACTTGGAGGATGATGAAATTGAATCCGTTCTACTGCAAAAGTTCGGAGAGACCTTATCGAAAAGAGCCATGATATGGTATCATAACTTACCCCCTAATTTTATTGACTCATTTGCTATACTTGCAGATTCCTTTGTAAAGGTGCACGCCCGAGCCATCAAGGTCGAGACCAGGAAATCCGAACTTTTCAAGGTAAAGCAAAGAGATAACGATATGCTCAGGGAATTAATATCGGGGTTTCAAATGGAACAAATGGATCTGCCTCCCGTCGTAGATGATTGGGCCGTTCAGGCCTTCACCTAAGGACTCAATACTCGAAGCTCGTTGGCTTCACAATAGTTGAAGCAAAATCTGGTAGAATACCCGGTGGTGACTTAGGCTGATGTCCATAATCGGTACCAATAAAAAATCAGGGTCGAAGATGATCAGCTCGGGGCCCCTTCCGGGTCCATTTATCCCGTTAAAGCTAGTGACAGACCCAAAAGAGACATTGATCGTGAACAAAGATCGAATAGAGACTGGTATCAACCATACATCAAAGATTGAATGGGTAATGTGTCTAGACGGAATAATGAGAAGTGAAAGAAAAAGCGACTGAGTTCATAATAATCAGGGACTCATGAGCAAAAGCGGTTTTGACAGACCCATCGGGCCTAAAGAGATCCAAGGTTATCGGAGTACAACTTCAACATCGATGTTGCTATCATTGTATCAGCCATCGGACGCATCAAAGACACTAAGTGGCCTCGACCTTTACAATCCGACCCTGCCCAAAGGGACCTCAATCTAATGTGTAAATATCATGGCACCCACGTCCACAAAACCGAAGATTGCCGACAACTAAGAGAAAAAGTAGCCATGTTATTCAACAACGGGCACATCCGAGAATTTTTGAGTGATCGGGCCAAAAATCACTTTAGGAATAGAGATGCCAACAAACAGATCGAGCAAGAGGAACCTCGACACGTCATTAATATGATCATTGGTAGAGTTGACATCCCCCAAGGGCCGATGTTAAAACACACTAAAATATCCATTATAAGGGAAAAACGGACTCGAGACTATGTACCGGAGGGAAGCGTATCTTTCAACGAAGAGGACACTGAAGGCATCGTGAAACCATACAATGGTGCACTGGTAATATCTTCTCATAAATAAATCTCGAGTTAAGCGTACTTTAATTGATCCAGGTAGCTCGACCAATATCATTAGATCGAGGGTCGTGGAACAGCTGGGTTTGCAAGACCAAATAGTGACTGCAGTCCGATTCTTAAACAGATTTAACATGGCTTGCGAGACCACTAAAGGTGAGATAACCCTACCGGTAAACACTACCGGGACCATTCAGTACACAAAGTTTTACGTGATCGAAGGAGACATGAGGTACAATGCTTTAATCGGGAGGCCATGGATTCACAACATGAGGGCAGTACCCTCGACGCTACATCAGGAGTTGAAATTTCCTACATTGGGAGGTATCAAAATAGTTTACTGGGAACAACCGGCTGCAAAAGAAATATTCACGGCCGATGAGGTGGTCCCGACTTCCACACTTTCGACATCGAAAAGGCCGAGTTTAGTCACCAAGGGAGAAACCAAATAGCAATCATCAACACCGGCCCCAATCGAACCAGAGTAGGAGACATGTGAGGGTGACGACTACGGAGTCCCTAGGTCTTTCATAGCCCTAGACGATTCCGATGCCACCAAGTCAACGGTTGAGGAGCTGGAGCAAGTCAGGTTGATCGAGCACCTGCCCGATCGAAAGGTATACCTGGGCACGAGACTAACTCCCGGGCTCAGGAAAAAACTCATTGAATTCCTTGTAGCTAACATAGATTGCTTCGCTTGGTCCCATCTTAATATGACAGGGATCCCGCCGGAAATAACTATTCACAAGCTGAGCTTGGATTCGAAGTTTTACCCGGTTAAACAAAAGAGGAGGCCTCAATTGGAAGTCAAGCATACGTTTGTCAAAGACGAGGTATCCAAACTTCTTAAAATAGGCTCAATTTGGGAAGTTAAGTATCCGGATTGGTTAGCAAACATAGTGGTAGTGCCTAAAAAGGGAAATAAATTGAGAATGCATGTAGACTATAAAGACATAAACAAGGCATGTCCCAATGACTCTTTCGCTTTGCCTAAAATCGATCGAATGATCGATGCAACGACCGACCATGAGATACTCAGCTTTCTCGACGCCTACTCCGGATACAACCAAATCCAAATGGACTTGGATGACCAAGAAAAAACTTCCTTCATCACTAAATACGACACCTACTGTTCTAACGTAATGCCATTTGGACTAAAAAATGCCGGTGCCACTTAACAACGCCTAGTAAATCGGATGTTCGAAGAGCAAATAGGAAAATCAATGGAAGTTTACATTGACGACATGTTAGTTAAGTCCCTGCGAGTAGAGGACTATTTGAAACATTTGCAGGAAACCTTATACATATTGAAGAGATACAATATGAAGCTGAACCCGGAGAAATGCACATTCAAAGTCAGGTACGGGAAGTTCCTTGGATTCATGGTGTCCAACCGGGGGATCGAGATCAATCCCAACAAGATCAAGGCCATAGAAGACATCACCGTGGTGGACAATGTCAAGGTCGTTCAAAGGCTAACCGGGCGCAAAACCGCCTTGGGTCGATTCATTTTAAGGTCCTCCGACAAGAGCCATCGATTCTTCTCGTTATTAAAGAAGAAGAATAACTTCTCATGAACCCCGGAGTGCCAACAAGCCTTAGAAGAACTCAATCGGTACCTTTCGAGCCTGTCTTTGCTTCATAATTCGAAGGCAGACGAGCAGTTGTACCTATACTAGGCGGTATCCGAGATAGCGGTAAGTGGAGTCCTAGTCCGGGAAGAGAAAGGTACGCAATTCCCTATATACTATTTAGCAAGAATCTAGGCGCGGCCGAAACTAGGTATCTTCACTTGGAAAAGTTGGCGCTCGCTTTACTAAGCGCCTCCAAATAGTTAAAACCGTATTTTCAAAAGAATGAATTTGTGAGCATTTCAAAAGAATCAATTAAATGTTCGGGTAAAAGCGAATACCATGTTAAGGCCACTTTTGTGAGGGTTTCTCCGAATTTTTTCAGCAGAACCGACTTAATTTCATGCTGAGCCAAGTCGTTTCCTTTCACTGCCATTGTATAAGTTGTGATGTGCTCTTGAGGATCTGAAGTTCCATCATATTTTGGTATGTCTGGAATCTTGAACCGTTTCAGAATCAATTCCGGTGATGCGCTCAGCTTAAACGATAACTGGGTGTACTTCTTCGAATCTGGGCCCTTCAAAACTGGTGGTGCGCCTGGAATTTGGTCCATTCGGGCATGAAATTCCTTCGCATTCTGGTCCATCTGCTCGTTCATTTCCCTCATGAATCACATGAGTTCGGTTTTGAATGGGTCATTACTACTGTCGTTACCTGATCCGCTACCGGTCCCCCCGGCTCCGTCGAAGTTGAGCTCACCCTTCATAGTGTTATTATTAACTCTTTGAGCCATCTGATTTGCAGGAGCGCGGGAGGAGCTGGGCCTCTTCCATTTATGTTGTTGGAAGTGCCAAATAATACCTGCTTTAGTTCTGTCATGACCTGGTCCTGCCTTGAGAAAATAGACCACGATGGCCTTTTACTGCTCTCTCAAGATCCTTACCGTATTCACAACATGTTCGTCCTCAGCGTCATCAGGAGTCGTCTCCCGCACATGTCGGGATATCGTCCACCATGGACCGGAGTTGCTACATCCCCTCGTTGCGGGTGTCACTGATTGAATCCTCATGTTGAGGCAGATTTTTGTGTGCCTCAACGTTGTGCGCGATGTTGACATCATTAGCTGCCATTTTTTCGATTTTTTCCTATGAAACAAAGAACCAAACAAGTTAATAATAGATGCAAGGATCAACTCAATTATGCATCTGTCTAAGCCTCACGGTGGGCGCCAAACTATTTACCCATAAAAAGGTACAGTTGAATTTGTTACGTGGTTTATAGACAAGCGAATTGGTTTGACCCAAAATGATAAAATAAATTAGATTAAAAATAAGACTTAACGTTAAAATCAAAGGAAATGGCGGGTCTGGCTCCGGGAGCGATGCTTCTGAAGGCAGAAATAAGGACAATAACAAACAGAAAGTAAAGTTATATTATTTAACTTGGGAATAGAGTATAACATAAGTTTTGTCAGAGATTTCGTGTCCTACATTGGTTGTTGAAGCCACTATTTATAGCTACACCTAGGAAACAAGATCCTAGGATTAAGCTCTCTTAAATGACAATAAAGAGGCCATTGATGAAGGTGTAACGATAGACCATGAATGCCAAAATTCTTTGCAACGGCTGCCTATTCAATATTAGGGAATATTCTTCATTAAATGTCATCTGGTGACAAACATTCATTTTGCTCCCGTTGATTATGCTCCCTTCGGGTTCTATCTGACACCAATGCAACTGTTGTCCCCGGCCTCAGTCCTTACTCGATTCATTTTCCGTTTGCCTCTGGTTCCATGTGTCACACATCGATCATTTAATATAAATCAATTTTACCCTATACATTTGCATGTTTAATATTCTTTAATATTGACCGTAAAATATTTATAAGTGTCAAAATCAAGGGGTTCAGTTATTACAAATATAGAAAAAGAAAATAAGTTATCCACTATGAGATTTGAAAAATAATTTTATGTCCTCCTTAATTAATATCAAAATAATTATTTATACTAATTTTTATATAGAAGATTTAATTTTAATATTATTTGCACATCATCCAAATAACTCAAATCATAATTTGACATAGTTTATGTCCGCCTATTATGCTGATATGATACTAATTTTGTTTGAATAAACACGATGAGTATAAAACAGTGGGAAGTATATAGTAATAGCGTATTTGAATTCGTTATTACTCCCTAAAAGAAGAAAAGCAAATACTGATACTTTTGCATTCAATCATTTCACTCTTTTGATTTACTCTTTGATTGAAGTGTAGCCCCAATCCCAAACCTTAAAATCTCTTTATCCAATCTTGTGATTCTCGAGTTAGAAATTTGTGCCAAATTCATTTAAGGCTGGAAAGATAAAAAAATACTACCAAACATTACTCAGTAGAGTAAAAAATACAACCATCTCTTTCGTTTTTCCCCCTCTTTCATTCTGAGAGAACAGTACTCAGTAGAGTAATAAATACATGGAGAGGAATTACACAACATTTCCAAATCTAAAACACAAAGATTCACTGTCTTTCCTCATCCACCATAACTAGATCTGATGATTTCTCTTTCTTCTTCTATGATATTTTGATGCACACATCGTGAACTCATTTTCTTGAAAATAATAAGGTTCTCAGTTGTGAAGTGTGAGGATGTTACTCTACGGTCCCCTAACACCTGCTCAGGTTAGTGAATTTTCTAAACCCCATTTTTGGTCCTTCGAATAAAGTTCGAATTTTGATCCGTTTGCTTAGTTAGGTTGTGTATTAGCAGTACGACTGTGGTTTGTGCTCAATGCCTTTCCATTTTGCGCTTTTGCTTTTCCCTAAAATCCATTTTGATCTGGTTTATCAATGTTGTGTTTGCTTTAGTAGAATTTCGTAGATAGGAGTGTTGCGTGGCTATGTTTTGTGCTCAATGCCTTTCCATTTTGCGCTTTTGCTTTTCCCTAAAATCCATTTTGATCTGGTTTATCAATGTTGTGTTTGCTTTAGTAGAATTTCGTAGATAGGAGTGTTGCGTGGCTATGTTTTGTGCTCAATGCCCTTTGCTTTTGTTAGTTAAAACAAGCTTACTTGGTAGATAAGATCTTGATTTTACTTTTCTGGATAGCAGTTGTACAGTGCCTACTTCCTCAATAAGACCTTCCAAACTTCAATTCTCTGATTGTTTTTTCTTGTTTCTATTGTCAGCAGTTTAATGTTATTGAGTTTGTAGTTAAAATGCCCTGGTGTCATGTGTGCTTTTGTTAAATGCTTTTATCTTACTCGTTGAAACATGCTTGTTCTCTCTATTACGTGTTGCATTGATTAATGAGCGGATTTGTGGACTAAGCAGCGTTTGCTTCATAGCTTCCCAGTGGCTTAGTCTTTTCATTGAACTTAAAGTTAACTCATGTTTCTTGATTTTTTTAAAGGGTTTACTCCCACTCCACATCATTGTATGATGTTCAATGCTTGGGTAAGTGGCATTTAGGATGTTCTCGATGTGTGTATCCTTTGTGTCTACATTTTCAAATTGGAAGTGGAAGCATGCTTATATTTCTTTGATTGGATCTTTCGTTGGTTGTTTTGAACTTCCAAGTTTTACGGGAGTTTTGAGCTTTAAGTCTTTCTTTTTGTCTTCTCGGTTTCTAATTTCATAGAATTTTCTACTTACAAAGTGGTTTAAGTGATCTTTGCTATGTGATTAAGTGTTCGTATTTCCAGGCTTCAATGAGTTGATTTTGGACAATGGATGGTTGTTATAAATGAAATGTAACTTTCCTCTGAATGAATTACAGGTGTCATTTTTTCTTGGAATTGTGTCGATATGTGCTGCCTGGTTATATTCAGAGTATCTGGAGTACGAGAAAAATTCAGCATCATCTAAAGTGTAAGTGGAAAAAACCTCTTCAAAACTGTACTTTTGGTAGCAAAGTTGTTGGATGACAATAGTTTTTTTTTTAAAATTTTTCTTTGACAATATGCAACAACAACAACAAACCCAGTGTAATCCCCATTAGTGGGGTATGAGGAGGGTAGAGCTAAGTTGCTCCGACACGGTAGTTTAGGTGCCCCACCCGTGTCGACACGATACTAGTATGGGTGTGGGTATGGGATCCATGCCGGATCTGGTCAAATAATTTTGGGTACTCAACCACGACGAACGGAAAAATTAAAGACGAGATACAATTTGATTCCCGAAATCATAACCAAAACTGGGTTAAATTTGGAAAAAACAGCATACCTTATCCAGAAAATCAATCATTTACTTAACTACAACTTGAGAATAAAAAAAATACATACTTTACCAGCTATATGTAAGTATTCCATAAAATTTCTCATAATTTAGAGTTATTTTTATATTTTTATTTTCTTGAATTATTTTCAGCCGGATCCCAGCACCCGTATACGTACTAGGATCCGTATCCCCGAATCTTAGAATTAACATCTTGAAGGATCCGAACTCTAGATCCGCACTCGTGTCTGAGCAACTCAGGGGTAGAGTATACGCAGACTTTACCCCTACCTGAAGAAGGCAGAGATGCTGTTTTCGGAGGACCCTTAGCTCAACAAAGATAGAGAGGAAGGAGTAACAACAAGCAACAACACCAGCAAACCAAATAGAAAACCAAAGCGAAAGAGACAATAAGCAATAACAGAAATCTAATAATAAGAAAGTACAAGACTACCATCGAGGAATGCATTAAAACTACTGGAACGAGTAAGGATAGCGCTCGGCTACCTTACCTTGTACCTTAATTCTCAACCTCCACTCATTACTATCCAAGGACTTGTCCTCGATAAGCTGTAGAATCGCCATGTCTTACCTAATCACCTGTCCCCAATGCTTTTTCGACCTACCTCTACCTCTCCTTAGGCCTTCCAAGACCAATCTCTCACACCTCCTTACTGGGATATTTGTGCCTCTTCTCTTCACATGTCCGAACCATTTAAGTCTCGCTTTTCGCATCTTGTACTCCACAGGGGCCACGCCCACCTTGTCTCGAATAACTTCATTCCTAATTTTATCTAACCTGGTATGCCTGCACATCCATCTCAATATCCTCATTTCTGGTCCCTTCATCTTCTGGATATGGAAGTTCTTGATTGGCTAACACTCAACCCAACATAATCGGTCTGACCACCACTCAATAGAACTTACCTTTAAGTTTTAGTGGCATATTCTTATCACACAAAGCACCGGAAGCAAGACTCCATTTCATCCATCCCGCGCCAATACGATGTGTGACATCTTCGTCAATCTCCCCATTCCCTTGTATAGTTGACCTAAGGTACTTGAAACTCTCTCTCCTAGGGATGACTTGTGAATCAAGCCTCACGTCTTTGTCCACTTCCTGAGCCATTCCACTGAACTTGCACTCTAAGTATTCTATCTTGGTCTTACTCAATTTGAAACCTTTAGACTCCAGGGTCTGCCTCCAAAACTCTAACCTCGCGTTAACACCACCTTGCGTCTTGTCAATCAATACAACGTCATTTGCAAAAACATGCACCACGACACCTCTCCATGAATGTGGTACATTAGTGTGTCGATCGCCAGGGCAAATAAAAATGGGCTGATGGCTGATCTCTGATGTAGCTCCATCATAACTGGGAAGTGTTTCGAGTCCCCTCTCACTGTCCTCACCCGAGTCTTAGCATCATCATACATGACCTTAATAGCCCTAATGTATGCTACAAGAACACCTCTAGCCTCCAAACATCTCCACAGAACCTCCCCCGAGACTTTATCGTAAACCTTCTCTAAGTCGATGAACACCATATGCAAATCCCTCTTCCTCTCCCTATATTGCTCCATCAATCTCCTAACAAGATGAATAACTTCTGTAGTCAAACATCCCGGCATAAATCCGAACTGGTTCTCGGAGATAGACACACTCCTCCTCACCCTCAGCTCCACCACCGTCTCCCAGACCTTAATAGTATGACTAAGTAGCTTGATACCTCTATAATTGTTGCAAGTTTTGATATCATCCTTGTTCTTGTACACAAGGATCATCGTACTCCACCTCCATTCTTCGACATCTTCTTTGTCCTAAAAATGACATTAAATAACCAGTGAGACACTCCGAGCCTGCCTTGCCTTCATTCTTCCAAAAATTCGACTAGGATTTCATCTGGCCCGGTCGCTATTCCCCTGCTCATCTTAAGCATAACACTCTCTACCACATCAACTTTTATATGCCTACAATTCCCAAATTCTCGACGTATTTCCGTGTGTTCCAAGTCACCCAGCACAATGTTCCTAACCCCCTTCTTCGTTCAAGGGTTTTTGGAAGTAAGTCTGCCATCTCTGTCGAATATGTGCCTCGTCAAACAAAACTCTGTCTTCCTCGTCTTTGATGCACTTCACTTGGTCCAGGTCACGTGCCTCCCTTTCTCTCACCGTGACTAGCCTCTACAGTTTCTTATCCCCGCCTTTGCCCCGAAGTTCTTCATACAGGCATTCAAGCGCTGCAGTCTTAGCCGCCGTAACCGCTAACTTCACTTCCTTAGCCATCTTATACCTCTCCCTATTTGTCCTCTTCTCCTCCTCATCCACACTCTCCAATAACTTTAGATACATCGCTTTCTTGGCTTCTACTTTACCTTGGACCTCTCCATTCCACCACCAGTCCCCCTTTGTGACTGCCAGAGTAGCCCTTCGAGACCCCTAGTACCTTTCTAGCAGCCTCCCTAATGCAATTCGCAGGAAGATGATGAATATATTGTTCTTTTTTTTTTAGTTTGGATAGTATGCCTTTACTGCACCACAAATACATGATGCATATCTTCATCCAGCAAGCGCTTTCATCCTCAATCTAATTTGGAGAGTTCCTCTCACATATCACAGTAGGCATTCTGATATCAATTTGGTTGAGTTGGGAAATGAAGCAGTCAAAGAAGATGACAGAGCTGTTCTATTGGAAGGAGGTGGCCTTCAATCAGCATCGCCTAGAATGAGGAGCTCATCTGTGACATCTCAGATTGCCAGGTTTGAAATTCAATATTAGCTATAATCAGATATTCTCAGTTCATCAGCTCATGTAAGGTAAACACCTCAGGTTTTGCTTGATGGATGAAAGTTTCTTTCTTGAGAATCGATTAACTCTTAGAGCAATGTAAGTGGATTTTCATGATCCAAGACGTAAGTTCCTGACCATGGCTCAGCTTGTTGTTTCTCATCTCCACCTATTTATCTGCAGATCAGAGTTTGGTGCCCTTTTGACTTACTTTTACCTATCTGACCGTACAAATCTGTTTGGTGAATCAAAAAAGGTATAGTAAACCTTTTCCTTATCTTTGTGCTTTCACCATGGGCCAGTGATGTTGTGTATGTATAATCGTTAACCAGAGAAATACTGAAACTGTCTTTTTGAGGTAAAAACATGAGGACGAGTTTTAACTGTGCAGCATTTGCACAATTAACTAAAATAGCTGGGACAGATGCACTCTGACTCTCCTTTTTACTGTTTTCTTGTTTGCTACAGTTTGACATTTTAGGCCAAGTATTTTTTCAATATTAGGATGGATAAGATGGTGTTTTTGTTCCTGAGTTCTGTTATAGCACCCTGTGATTGTGCTTACAATAATAATGTTACATAAAACTGAGTTGGCCCATGTTGTGTGCTATATCTGGATGGAGCATCTTTATATCCTTTCACAATGTGGAGATCCAGATTCAAGGATAACCAGTACATTTCCTTCAACATGAATAAGCAAGTACAATCAATATTTGTTTTTAAAAAAAAAAGGCCAAAATCATACGCAGCCCCTTAAACTTGTCCGGCTTTTCCTCTTAGACACCTTATCTAAGATTTGTTCCGATTGAATACTTAAACTACTCAAAATTTTGAACCAATTAAACACTTTTTTAATAACCAGCAAAAAACTAAAGAGAGTGTAATACACTTGCCAATGATGTGGCAAATTGACGAATTATCTAATGACATTTGGCATTTGGGTCCAAAATAATATTTAATAAAATGAATTATGAGCAAAAAAACAACAGCTATTTTAAGAAAAAAAAGAGAAAAATAATAACCCCACCCCACGCACCCACCCAGGCCATCTCTTTCCTATTCTTCAGTTAAGTCCATAAGCTGGCATCTCCAACCACAATGTTCTTTTTTTTTTCTTTTGGTTTATAGAACTAATTCATTGTAATTTTAGATCTGATGGTTTTAATTTTTTTTATCTAAATAGTTTCTGAACAAAGAGAGGAGGGGGATAGAAAAGAGAGTGGCAACAGTGATGAGTCTCCATTTTTTCCGGCGAGCAAAATGGTAGTGGTTGTCAGAATTAACGAAAAAAGGAGGAGATAGTGGTGGTGGTTTTCAGATCTGAAAAAGATGAAGAAAATGGTGATTGGAGTGGTGGTAGCGTCGGCAGTGATAATGACAGAAAGTGGTGGCGCTGGTTCCAAAAAGGAGGAAGAAGCGGCGTGGTGGCAGCAGTAAGGGAAGATCGGAAAATAAAACGACGGTAGTGGTAGAGGAGGTAAGGTGGCTGAAGAAAGAAGAGAGGTGAATTGTGGTGGTGCCGGCGACGGTGCCAATGGTGGTAGATGGTGGAGAAGTTATGGCAAAGAAGATTGAAGAAGAAACAGAATAAAAAAAGAGAAAAACATTAAAAATAATACATCTCACGCTCTTGGGGTAAGTGTATTACAAACACTATGCCATATCAGCAAAAAGTGTTTAATGGGTATCAATTTTGAATAGTATAAGTGTTCCATTGGAACAAGTCTTAGATAAGGTGTCTAAGAGGAAAAGCCGGACAAATTTAGGGGGCTGCGTATGATTTTAGCCAAAAATAAAAATACAACTGATCAAGTATCATAAACTCTATTTTGCATATTTTTTTATTAGTTCAAGATCATTTGCAACTTGGCATAAATTTAAAAGTTCTAGTCTTTAATGTTTCATTTATGTGCAGGAAGCTGGTTGTATGTGGTCTTCTGGTTCTAACCAGCTTTTGATTGTATTTGCAGAGCTACAATCGTGATCTTTTCCTCTTCCTCTACTTCCTTCTCATCATAATCTCGGCAATCACTTCTTTTACAATCCACCATGATAAGTCACCTTTCTCTGGGAGATCCATAATGTATCTGAATAGGCATCAAACTGAAGAATGGAAAGGATGGATGCAGGTAAGTCAGCTTTTGGCATGATCTACTAGCTGATAATCCATGATATCTTTTCTCTTACTTTTTCCTGCATATGTCAGAACGAGAAACTGACTTCGTGTTGTAACGTTATCTTTCACCATTGTTGTGAGTTTTAAATCTCCTCATTACACGAGTTTGACAATCAGAATTGTTGGAGAATAGTAAATGGCTGTAATATATGCAATGAGAAAACTTGGACATGCTTTCCCATGTTGAGTATGCGGCCCGAAAAATAAAAAGGATTCTACTGTAGATACTAGGAGAGAATAGGATGTCCGAGCTTGAATAAACGCTTCTCCCAAGGGGGCTTATTTGAATAAGGAAACAAAGATGTCCATCCGCAGCATTTACAACGGCATAACTTCATTCCATCCGCAACATTTATAATGGCCTAACTTCAATTATAAGGAAAAATTGATGGCATAACTTAAAAGTAAATTTTTTATTCCAACTGCAATACTTGGAAATGCATGTTTCTTATACTACTTTGACAACAAGGCAGTATCTTTTGGATAACTCGGAATCAGTGACAGTATTCCTTCTCATAAACATCTGTCAGTTTATTTTCTGTCTATAAGTTTCAGCTGCATTCGCCGCACCACTTCTGGGTTCTCACATTTTGATCTTTTGTAACAGGTATTATTTTTAATGTATCACTACTTTGCTGCTACAGAAATTTACAATGCTATACGAGTTTTTATAGCTGCATATGTATGGATGACTGGATTTGGAAACTTCTCTTACTATTACATCCGCAAGGATTTCAGCATTGCAAGATTCACTCAGGTACTCTCTTCCCCTTGACTTTGCAGATCTTATGTACAGGGAGTTTCCTTAATAGGCTTCAGAAAATTTTACTTTATGATGGACAGATGATGTGGAGGCTCAATTTCTTGGTATTCTTTAGCTGCATTGTCCTTAACAACAATTACATGTTATACTATATATGCCCCATGCACACTCTTTTCACTCTGATGGTTTACGGAGCCCTTGGTATATTCAACAAATACAATGAGAATGGGACTATTATTGCTGGTAAAATCATTACCTGCTTCTTGGTTGTTATTCTGATGTGGGAAGTTCCGGGAGTTTTTGAAGTGGTTTGGAGCCCATTTACTTGCTTCCTTGGTTGGTAGCTTGGATTTGTTTTTATCTTCCTTCTCCTTAGTCACGACTGATTACTAACGCTTCTGTGTATGCATATATTTTAGGATATGCTGACCCAGATCCTTTAAAAACAAAGCAGTCTCTCTTGCATGAGTGGCAGTTCCGTTCAGGTCTTGATCGTTACATATGGATAGTTGGGATGATATATGCATACTACCATCCAACAGTAAGTTCTCGTTCAGATTTTTCAACTTTTACCTGTCAGAGTAAGGGTGCTGTCTGTTGTCTTTTTCTGAAATATTCAGTTCGTTCCTTAACGATGTAAGTTCATAATTGATTCAAGTTTCATCTATCAGGTAGAGAGATGGATGGAGAAACTTGAGGAAACCGAAGTGAAACGTAGGATATCAATAAAAGCAGTTGTTGCCATAATTTCACTTGCGGTATCTCCTCTCTCTTTTTCCACTATCTGGCGTTTCAAACTTCTATCCCATGTTTACATATTGTACAAATTTCAGATGGGATATCTTTGGTATGAGCACATATACAAGCTTCCAAAGATCACATATAACAAATATCATCCTTACACATCTTGGATTCCGATAACGTATGTCTTTTTCTTCTATTGATTGCTCAGTAATTTTGGAAGTTTCTTCTTTCACTAGTGAATAATGTCCTGCATGTTCCCTTCTAATATACTGTTTGGTGTTTTTATCTAACAGTGTCTACATATCCTTGCGGAATGTAACCCAATATTTTCGCAGCTACTCATTAACCCTTTTTGCGTAAGTAAATTTGCATTATAAAGTTTCATTTACAGTTCCTTTGTCATATGTTTTAGTTCATGAAAAGGCATTGAAAGTCGGTGAATTCATGGAAGAAATATAAGTAGATATTGGATTTTGGTTTGTTACTTCAAGAGAGACCACTTATTGCAGTATATTGCTTTCTTGACCTGTAGATGGCTTGGGAAGATCACTCTGGAGACCTATATATCCCAAATCCATATATGGTTAAGGTATGAAAGATGAATTAAAGGTTGATTTCTTTCATCCCCAGCCAGAGATCGTACATGGTTTTTAAGACAGTATGCTTCGCTTGTTCTTATTTATTCATGATTTTATACCCTTCCTCTGATCTGCACATCTAAGCATAAGACCATAGAATGTTATCAGAAGACTGATATGAGTTTCACTTTTGGCTGTTTATTATGTAGTGTTCCTCAAGCTCTTATCTTATTTGGTAATTGTCATTGAGTTGGTTACTTGGTTATGAAAAGATAGTACTATAGGTATTTTGGTCACCTCGGGATGCTGGAGTTGGCTAACGTTTTGGCATAGTGGCCACTGTAATCTCTAACAAAGTGATTTTATGGAAACAATGAAATCTTAGTACTACTGTTTTTGTTAGAAAAAAAAAAGAATTGTGTATAAAACTTATGTGCGTGTTTAACGTATCTATAAATAAATGCAGATCTGGTGTTCCAGATGGACAGCCTAAAAAGTTGCTATGTTTGATCCCGAACTACCCATTGCTGAACTTCATGCTTACTACTGCCATATATGTCGCAGTAAGTAGATTTGTTTCTTATCCATTGCCTTTCTTGAGAGGAACACATGAATGCACGAATCAACTTCCCGTTTCTTTATGTATGTGCAGGTTTCTCACAGATTATTCGAATTGACTAACACTTTGAAATCCACATTTATTCCGATGAAAGACAACAAACGTCTTGGCTACAACATAATTGCGGCTTTAGTTGTATCAGGTCTTCTATATGTCTTGTCCTCCGTATTCCTAAGGGTACCTCAGCTGCTGGTAAGTCATTCTGTGTGTTTCCTTATCATCTTTAGTCATTGCTTCAGCTTTCGCACTTCTCAAGTTTGTGTAAAAAGTGATCAGAAATATCAAACAGAAAGCAAATGTGTGCGTTAGAATAGTCCAAAGTTGACACCTATCAAATAAAATTTATCGGCTATATTGAAGAAGAAAGTGGAAAATTTCTTTTTCTCATTTTGATTAGTGAAATACGATCGTTTATATACTCATTATAAAAGGATGATTAGATGGGAATTATTATTAAAGAATTAGTTAATATACTCATTGTTTACCCGTAAAACGTTACTGCTGAATTTATAGCGTGGTTTATTGAGAAGCGAATCAATTTGATCCAAAACGATAAATAAATAAGAACAAAAATAAGATCAAAGACTGAAATTGAAAGAGATGACAAGCATGACTCAGAGCTCAGTCTTTCATGTCCCTACAATGGTTGTTAATCCTGCTATTTATTAGTGTTATCAAAGGCGAAAGACACAAAAAAACTCTAAGATCTATCGGGGCTTTAAGCGCAAAGCACAAATAAAGCGTGTGCTTTAATGAAAAAAAGTGCAAGGGAGAACAAAATACAAAAATTGTAAGTGTAGTAGAAGAATAAGAATTTTAAGCATGAATAACAAATATATGAACAAAGAAATTGAAAAAAAATTTACGATAAAGTGAAAATATCAATTGTTTTGTGTCGCCTCTTCGGGATTACGCTCATTGGCAAGAATTTCATGTCGCCTCTTCGGGATTACGCTCATTGGCAAGAAAAAGTATGCTTTAGAGCCTTGATGACGACACTGAAGCGCCCATTAAGCAAGGCGAAACGCTCAACATATTTTGAGCCTCGCTTCAGGGCTTAAGCACGCTTTAAGCGTGCCTTTGACAACACTGCTATTTATAGCCTTACTTAGGGAGACAAAATCCTAAAATGAAGCTCCTCTTAAATGAGAAATAAAATGTCATTGATGGGTGCATAACGGCTGGCTTTGAATGCAGATATTTTCTGTAACGATTGTTCATTAAATGCTATCTGATGTCAAAACTTTGAATCTTTATTATCGGCTATGCTTCCTTCGGAGTCCATCCTGTTCCGATTACACATTTCACATCTGGTGCCAGTTATTTGCTGACTCGTCTTTTGCATGTCTTCGGTTCCACGTGGCACCTCACAATTCGACCACCTGTTATCAACCAATTTCACCCCATACACTCATCAACTTTAACCATTTAGCAGTTTATAAGTAAAATCGATCTCTGAGTAACGAGCTTCTCTAATTTACAGGTGTAGAAGTGTACGTACATTATATTCAATGAAGGCAGATATGATACAGTTTGCGAGCCGGCTACAACGTGGCTACAGGTTTTTGTTTTTGGTTCTTTTACATATTTAAACGGAGAAGAGAAGAGAGGTACCGATTGGGTTATAGCTCTTAGTTTAATATTCTTTGTGTGTATATATAGTCTAGCTCTTGAACTCAAATTTTCGATTGAGCAGTTTGTATTTTCCATAATTTGCTTAGCCATGTTTTAATGTGTACCTTCTAAATGAGGTCATGTCCCATTTTACTTATCAGTACTATTCCACCGTAACAATTTATTTACAGTGAATTTCACCATAGAAAACAAAGTTTCATTTCTTTCGAAAGTTTGCAAACAGTTGAAGGAAAAACAAAAACGCACCGTTCCCCGTGTGATCTATATTTGTTTCCCTAGTTATCAATATAATCACATGTATAAACACAACGATAAAAACTTCACGATCTCATTAGTTATAGAAGATTGTTCCAATGTATCGTCAAAGATTGTATTCGCTCTTCTTAGGAATCTTTCACAGAAGTTCACAAAAGGAAGGTAGAATCCATGTATGATGGAAATGTTAATAAAGATAGTCCAAACAGAACAAATAGTCATTGAATATGCAGGAGCTCGCCCAAGGATCAGAGTCTTTCCTAAAGGCATGGATCCAGAGAATTCATATTGATTGTTTAAGTATGGATTAGTTGATGCTATTTATTTCAACAAGGATTAAACCATAAGAATGTTGCCCCATCTTTGTAAGAAATGCAGTACAGGCGAAATATTTATGAAAATTATTAGTGCTGTACCGGATTATACCGCTTCTATTAATCAGTTACGAGGAATCACCACTAGAAATCGGTTGATTTATTTTGGAATCTTTAAGCAAATAACCGGTCGCATATATAGAGTTTATACTATTATACATATATTATATTATACTAGTTTCTCCGCATGCGCGTCACACGTGTATGCCGAGCCATATAGTATATAATTTTTGTAAAATCATATTAATATTATCAAGATAAGGCTTTGAGTAAGTAAATATATTTAGAAGAATAAAACACAAATTTATGTGAATAATGAATATGGATCGTCGAATGATGGCTTATTAAGAGGGGTATTATCACTTTTAGCCCGCGCCAGAAACTATTTACCTCCGGTAGCAGAAAAAGTGTATAAAATTTATATAATTTTTGTGTATAACATACAAAATGTATATATGTACAAAAAATATACATTTTTCGGCTATTATTTTGAAAGCGGCTATACAGTGTCATTTTCCCTTATTAGGATGACAAAAGATGCATCAAGAATTTTTTGCGACTTATGAATATATGATGATGATAAATTACAAATATCTCCCAAATTCACATAGGAAAATATTTTAATATTAACTACTAATATTTTCTAAAATGCACTAATAAAACTAAAGAAAATCAATCTATAAGCTATTACAATAAAGACGCCTCCGTTTTCTTACTCTAGCTAATAAAATATTTGGTAACCAGTATATTTTGCTTTTCCAGTCATGTTTCTTCCAGTTATATTGGTTGAGTGATTTATCCCTTCTTTGTAAAGTTGTTCCAATTATAATTTTTCTTCATATAAAAGTAAACATGTACTTATGAATGCACGCACACGCACATTATCATACGTATGTGTGTAGATGATTTTGTGTTACATTCTAGCTATAAATGACCCCTCCTGACTGGTCTATTGGCTATAATGTCACACTATTTACATGTGATAATTTTCGTAATTGTGGAGTATAATATTATCAATGAGAAATAATTTTATTATACCTATTTTTTTAATGCACTCATGATTTGTTATGTTTAATTTCCACGCATTAGATACAACATATACTTCCATCTTCCACATATTATTTAACATCTTGCACTGATAGTATCTAATCTTCATTTTGTATATTGACATATTTCTAATTAGTAAAAAGCAGAAATGTTATAGATTATATGACAGAGTAATTCAACTAATCTGTTAAACAGTACAAAACAAATTTATATCGAATAAAATGTTCTATAGCTGAGCATGAATCTATTGTGCTTGTCAATTTATGTTTACAAAAACAGTTTAGTTCATATTTGAAAAGAAATAAACTACATGGAAGGTCATACTGTTAAATTCCCTTTCAAGCACTTTGCCAAACAATTGTAGGCTATAGTATGTGAATATGACGTCCCCGTCAAAATTTTGTGTAATAACAATACCAACGGGCAAACTCATTATACTATCACCAAACTATCATACCATACAACAAAATCACAAAATATATTAAGTTTTAAAACCCTAGACTTTCAATTCCACTACAGTTGCGAGCACTTTCTCCTTTCTATTAACCTATTTCATTATCATGCTTATTTATTTATTTTTTCACATTCCTCTACCTAGCAACCTATATTATTGTTGGAAAACGGACATCATTTTGATATTTGGTGCACAAAGCCAAACAAGAAGATACTGGAATTCAATAGGATTTAGATTTAAAAGGTAAACCTTAATTATGTGTTTGTTGAAAGATTTCTCACTAAAATTAAAATTTTAAAACTAAATTTACTTAGAATATACTTTTCAATTTTATTTCACTTAGACTCTTGCTTTCATAAAATTATAACATCCGGCTACATCAAAATATAGAATTCAATTGCATGGTTATGTACTTGGACAGAAAAAAGGAGTAGGTTAATCAAAAGGCTGAAGCGATATCTAAAATATTATAGATAAACAAATATAGTCCTTCTAAACAAAATACTTCATATTAGATAATAACTTGAAAGCAAAGTTCCACATGAACTTGTGCATGCAACTTACAGAATATGCAAATTAATGAATCTAAGTTTAGCAATGGAACGAAGAAGTTAATTTTGATATTGCTTAAGCCTTCTAACAAAGTTAATTCTGATATTAACTAATGCATTCCTAAACACAAAAACACATGTATCACCAGACCATCACAATATAAGTTATTTATCCTAACATTTATATTGATTGTGTTTCACAAAAACCCCAAAAGTAGAAATAAATAAAAAGAGAAGTTAAGATAAAAATCCGATTTTCTTGTCACTTTCTCTTGATTTATTATTCAGATTCTCTCTAATTGTCTTTGCCTATATAATCACTGGTTCCGTAGACGAATGTGTATAAGTCTTCTATTCCTCTTCTTCAATTCCAAATTCGTAAATACTGCTAACAGATAAAAAACAGCCACAATATTCAAGGCAAACATAGAAGATGTTTTTTCAATTTGTTGCAAATAATCATTGTGATTTTTCAAGTATAATCTTGATAGTGTATTGAACTACAAATTTTCTAAGTCTCATGTTGAGAGAACGCGAAGTACAAGTGACTGTTAAAGGATGCGTCAATACTCAATAGAATGACAAAGCCGTTATTTATCTTTTTGTCCGGAATAAGTAAATCGGGATTATTTTTTGCAACTCTTCACAAGTAGGGCTCTTTAATTAATAGGGTACTTAAATAAATAGGATGACATTTTAATTAATAGAACAATAACATCCCGGCAAGGGAATCAACAAGTACATAATACGAACCACGGAAAAACCAAGAAGCACGATAACCTCAACAAAACAACAAGACATAATAAGCACGTGATAACCACAACAATTGGACATGTAACATATTTGCACGAAGTCATAGAGGAACTCACAATCAAGAAGTATCAAAACAATAAGGAAGGCAATCACTTCAATTAAGGCAATTAAGGGTCAATGTAACACGTAAGAATTAGAGGAAAGCTAACAACATCATATGGAGCATATAGAGGCAATTTAAGCAATTAGGAAAACCAATCATAACGGGATACTTTCCACATAATGAACATAAGGACCTAATTAAGAACCCTAGAGCAAATTTCCCACAAATAAGTCCGAGTACACACTCGTCACCTTGCATGCACGGACTACAATTAGCATAGAAGACTCAAGTCCTAAGGGGAAGTCCCCTACACAAGGTTAGACAAGATAATAACCTCAAAAACGACAAACCGATACTCTAAAATGCACTTCTCGGGTAAAAAGATTTCCGAACGGCTCAAATCTAACCAAATTAACTTCAAAGCACAAATAAAACACATAAGAAACTATTCCGGATCATAAAGTCTCAATTTTTAGAAAAATTAAAAAATCGGTCCAAAAGTCGACCCCCGGACCCGCACCTCGGAACCCGACAAATTTTACAAAAACCAAATACCCATTCCAACATGAGTTCAACCATACAAAATTTATTAAATTCCGATACCATTTGGCCCCTCAAATCATAATTTTTCATTTTAGGAATTTCCTTCAAAAACCAACATTTCTCCCAGCCCAAAACACAAATAATATGATGAAAAAGAAGATAAAATCATGGAATATGTTTGATTCTAGGTGAAGAACACTTACCCAATCGATTTATATGAAAAGCCCTCAAAAAATCGCTCAAAACCGAGCTCCACAAGTCAAGTTATGGTAAAAATGGTGTAACCCTCGATTTGGAAAACTTATATTCTGCCCAGATATTAAAGCATCGCGAACGCGGAGAAGGGCTCGCGTTCGCAAAGAAGAGAAGAATGAGGCTGCCAAAAAGTCCCTATGCGAACGCGAGTGAAGGGACGCGATCGCAAAGAGTAAGAAACAGAAGCTACGCGAACACGATGGAGGGGCTGCGGATGCGAAGAAGGGGAAGGCAGACCTTCACAAACGCGAGAGGTTGAACGCGAATGCAAAAAAGAAATAAATCACCTTCTAAAGTAACACTATGCGAACGCGAAGGCAAGGACGCGAACACAATGAAGGAAACCAGATGACAGATTCAGCAGTTCAAAATAGGAGGAACATGACCCATATCTCACCTGGAACACACCCGAGGCCTCGGGACCCCGTCCAAACACACAAACAAAGTCATATAACCTAACATGGACTCGCTCAAGGTCTCAAATCACATCAAATAATGCCGAAACAATGAATCACACCAAGAATCGAACTTAGGAACTTTCCAACCTTCCAACTTCCAAAACTCGTGCCGAAACCTATCAAAAATCAACCCGGAATGATGCCAAATTTTGTAGACAAGTCCAAAATGACATAACAGAGCTGTTCTAACTCTCGGAATTGAATTCCGACCCCGATATCATAAAAGTCAACTATGGGTCAAACTTCTCCATTTTCCAAACTTCAACTTTTCCAACTTTCGCTGAAACGCCTCAAATTACCCTACGGACCTCCAAATCCGAATTCGGACGCGCGCCTAAGTCCAGAATCACCATACGAAGTGGTTGAGATCACCT